AAGCTAGTGACTTACTATAGTGCCCAGGCGGGTGGGCTGCCCTGCGCCTCCCGGGTGCTGCCTCTGCATCTGTCAACTCAGCTGAGCTCTGAATCTGTTCACCTGGCCCCTTCGAGGACCAGCAGCATGCTGCATGCTGACAAGTGAAGCCAAGCGTGTGCATGCTTACTGGGCAGGCTGCAGCTCCCCTGGAGCTGTGGGAGCGGTGTGGAGAACTGTAGTTAATGCTGCGCTCTGAGCCTGTTTCAGCCTCTACTTTGTGAGCCTCCTTCCCCCAGCCCTCCCACCCTTGCATCCCACCTGCTTTACTAACCCACTACCTAGTGTTACAGGTTATAACTAACTGTGTATCTCCGCTGAGAGAGCCCCAGGTAGCATAGCTGTGTGGTGTGCTTCATTGTGTCCTTGTCCACTCGTCTATGCAGTGGCTGTTTCCCAAGTATATAATGTGCCAGGCCTGCACAGAAGAGAACAGAGTCTCAGCCCTGGTAGACTGTATAGCCTGTATGAGAGTCAGGCCAGTCCATGCGCAATTGAAATGTATAGTGAGCTGTCAGTAGGGTGAGATTCCCAGCCCCATTCATGGGGAGAGCAGAGAAGCTGAGGGCGGGTTAGTAACAAAGATTACTAGAAGCAGCAGCCTGGAAAGCCGTTCCTGGGGACCTGCTCATGGTGTCAGAGTGTGGTCTGTAGTGTACGGGAGACTTTGTGTGTGCTGCCCATTGCTTCAGAACCAAGTAGAGCAGAACTGATGATGCCAGTGTGCACTTGTCTTTTTCCTGTTCGGCCAGACGTAGAAAACAGTAACGCTGTTCTCAGTTCCTTTCTAATTTGGAAAATAGAGTGATTCTCTTGTTTTAATGTTAGCATTTGGGGCCTGTGAGATGTCTCAGCAAGTGCAGGCCCTGGACACTGAGCGTGACAACCTGAATTCGGTTCCCACAACCCACATGGTGGAATAAAACCCTGTATGTTCTCTGGCCTCCACATTCATGCTGGGGTGTGTGTGCACAAATGCACACACATACACACACAAATAAAATGGAAAAAACTTTAAAACATTAGGGGTGGTTGAAGGGCTTTTAAATAGAGGAAGGACACAGAAAAGCCCTGGAAAATGGCCTGACACTGAGCAGTGTGGTACCAGGGGACAGAGCTGCAGGCCTGCTCCTTCTGGGAGCAGATGTGGACATCACTCTTGGGTTGCAACATGGGGTGAAAATAGGATTGAAGGTAGGTTTAGGAACTGCTCCATGTCTGGTGCTTCTGGAACATTTAGGTAGAGGTATTTCCAGGACACTTGTTTCTATAGCTACAAGGCCAGAATCCTCACCACAAATACTGTGCCTGAAGCCCTGTAAGTAGATGAGGGCTTTTCAGCAGAACACGGAAAAAGAAACTCCTGAAACACAACCTTAGGGGACACGAGCTGAGGAGATTCTGGAGGACACTAAGGCGTGGTCATGGTACTGGAAGGACAGAGGATGATGTTCTCGGACTCCGTAGCTGTAGTGTCCTCCATAAGAGCCTCCCACCAGGTCTAGGCCATCTCTGGTCTGGAGTAGAGCTTCTCAGTGCTGTGCCAGGGTCAGAAGTGGCCTGGGACACTGACCCCTGTTCCTCCAGGCGGCTGTGAGCTGTTCCTGCTGCCCTCCACGCTGTACATGCCTGTGTTTTTGGTATGTGCCATGAGGTGTAACCCTGGAGAGCCTGTTCTGTGGCAGGGTCAGGAAGCCTGCATACCACTCAGCCTCGGCCTCAGCCCTAGCACAGGGTCCTGGAGCGGTCATTTCAGTTCTGAGTCATTTTGATTTTGATTTGTATGTATGTATCTCTGTGTGTGTATCCCTCCCTCCGTCTGTCTCTGTCTGCGCCTCTCTCTCATGTGTGTGGATGTGGGTGTCCTAGGAGAACAGAAGAGGTCACCTGATCCGCTGGAGTGAGGGTTACAGGTGGTCATGAGCTGCATGATGTGGGTGCTGAGGTCCAGACCACTGAAAGAGTGCATGGTATGAGCTCTTAGCCTCTGAGCCTCTCCTTAGCCCTTCATATCACATTTGGTGCTGACCTCTTGACCGTTTTAGTCTTCCAGCACAGTGTCTGTCAGCAGTAGCCCAAGTGTGAGTGCTGTATTTCACTCCTAGCCGATCGGTAACACATGCTCCGGACAGAGACACCGAGGACAGGTGTAGCTTCCCCAGAGGCCACCCTTTTCAGTGTGCATGCTTTGGAAGCATTTAAGTTTTCTGAGACATCACAGTCACAATATCCATTAGCACTCCCCAGTTCAGTCTTTCAGAGCACGTTCTTGGATAAGGAAGTAGCTCCAGCTGTACCGGGTAACACTGGACTGTCAGGACAACAGGGAAGAGGGTGTGCCAGCCCTCCCTCCGTCAGGGCCTCCAGGGTCCATAGCAAGCTGAAGAAAGGCAGCGGCAAGACTGATTGCTGTCTTCAGACTGTTCTAAATGCTTACATGTAGAGCGGTCTCATCACACCTTCATACATACCCCCGTAAGCACGAGGCACTGTTCCTGTCGTACATTTGAAGAAACTGATGGACAGGATCCACAGGCAGAGTCAGAGCTGCAGTCCGAACCCCCAGGCATTCTAGCCTAGAGACTGCTCTGTCCTTGAGCACACTGATGAGACACCTGTGCTCTTCCCCATAGCTAAACTTGTGCTCTACCTTGATTCAGCCTCAGTGCCACACTTGGCTGAGGTCCACCATGCCCTGGCCACACTTGCTAAGGTCCACTCAGGGCTTCTCTGGCCCTTTGGCTATGCTTCGTGTCTTCCCTCGGAAATGCCAGAAGTCACTGTTTTGGTTTCTCTATTCTGGGTGTCTTGTCTCCCTGCAGAAGATGATCAGTTCCATGAATACCAGTGTAAGCCCAGTGCCCAGTCCATGGGGCCATGTGTGCCCTGGCCGCAGTGTGTTCCTCTGGTCTAGCCTCCTCATCCAGAGTGCACCACAGTCTGGAGAGCGTGGATGCCTGTTCACACAGCTCCTGCTGAAGATCTAGAAACAGTCACTGCTGTGTGGCTCAGGAGTGGGGGACAGTTGTTTGTCTGCACAAGATACTTTCTTTAGAAATCATCTTGTCAACAGCTAGTATTTCATAAAATGTCTTTTGAAAATGCAAGCTTTCCTTCCACCTCTGTGAAATGTGTGGCTGTTGCTTTTGAAAAAGACAGCGCAAGGGAAGTGCTTCCTGTTTGTAGAGGTTTGTATTTACCCTGGCAGGCAAGAGCTCCTGGACCCTTCTGTTGAAGTACCTTTCTGTGTTGCAGAGCAGGGGACAGGGCAGAGCTGGGTTACTGTCGTTTCATTGCCTCACAGGACATTCTTCCTGAAGGATCTTTTCAGCCCTCACTGCCTCCCAGAGATGGAGGTGCGGATGCTATCATGGAAGAGTTCCCTGATCCCGAGACGAGGCTCCCCAGTATGCACCGTCACGACCTTAACCATCCTCATAGGTGGAGGTGCTGGACTTGTTTGGTCCTGCTGGTGTGAGATACCTTGTTTTCATTTGCATTTCCCCAATAGTAGGCATCTGTGACTTGAGGCTTCCTCTGCTGTAGATGTCTATTTATACTCTCTGCCGACTCCTGTCTTTGGGTTTTTTCTCATTAGTGTTTCTGTATATATGAATGTTCTTGTCTGTTACATGTTGTGCGCATTTCCTTTTAATATGTATGCCATTTGCCATTAACTCTTGTTTTGTTTTAGTCAACAACAGCTGAACTTTTAATGTACATTCTTACTGATAATATAATTTTTAGCCACATTTTTCATATTTTTGTTTGAAAAATCTTTCCCCTGTCAGGATGACATGAAAGTATCCTTGTCTCAGAGTTCTAACAGTCTGGCCTCCCATGCTCTGGTCACTAATCTGTGAGCACACTTGGCATGCCGGCCGAGGCT